AAATAATAAATGTTCTTTACAAAAATGTCTAGAAATTAATAAGTGCGGGTACCTTGTAACTTGATGTTTGTTTTATAGGCATTGGGGCACTGACTTTTGCTCTTCTGATGTCAGCAAGGATGGGTATATTCCAAGAGACTCTATACAAACAATTTGGGAAGCACTCCAAGGAGGCTTTATTTTATAATGTAAGGAACTTCTTAAATCTGGGGAAATTGACAATTCCTGCATTGTAATATGTTACTTCAAATGAATTTCTGATGTAGTTGAAGGATCAGTTTATTATCAGTAAAGAGCTTTGAGACCCATAAACTGACATACTTTTAATGGATGCTGATGTGTAATCAGAGACAGTTGTCTACACAGGGTGATCATCATCAACCAATTTGAATGAAACATCTGTTAACCAGGAGCAACCCCCAAGGGCCCAGACCTGCAACTTTCTTGTAGATGAAATCAGGAAACCTATAAAGGAAAAATGAGTCCCAAAAATAACAGGCCAAGGGAAGGTGTACAAGCAGACATCTGTCGGATAGTTTGGGGAGGTTGGGGTCAAGAGGCTTAAGTCCCCCAGATGAGCTTTATTCATTTGAGAGAGTGTAATTAATTATATGTGCTTCATTTGCAACTGTTGACCTAGCACCCTCTCCTCTAACTTTCCCCTTTGTCCTCTCTCTTTGCTGTTGAATATACCAGAACCTAACTCTCTGAGGTCAGGTGAGATAGCTGCCTCAACCCGCAATTACCCCAGGGATTCCATTACTGTTAACTTCTAGTACTACAGATGCAAATAAGCAGTGTGAGATTTAATTGGAGCTATGATGCATGGCTGTGAATTTCTTAGTGAACGTTTTATTTGGTTTCGATCTTTTATTTAGAGCAATGCCAGGCTCATAGTAACTGCTTAACTGTGCCTCATCATTACTGTTGTGCTGGCGTAGGGATGAGTGGTTTTTGTCATGCATCTCAGCCTCACATATTGTGTCTTTTTCCTTTTTAGCCTCTTCTTATTCTTATCTTCATTTCTTTTTCCCTGGCCTTGTATTGTCCTCATATCTCTTTCCTACTGGCTTTCTAAATTTTATTGAAACCTGCCTCTGCCTTCTTTTTTTTTTTTTTGAGACAGGGTCTTACTATGCAGATCAGGCTGGCCTTGAGCTCACTTTGTAGCCCAGGCTCGTCTCGAACTTACAACGATCCTCTCAAACTTACTCCTCAGCCTCCCAAGTGCTGGGATTACAAGCGTGCACCACCTTGCCTGGCTCTCTGCTTTCCTTGTAATTTTAAAATCTATTATGTTTGTTTAATGGACTGTTTGTTTAACCTTTCTCAAAAATAATAAAATATAGCAAGTCCTTTTGCACAGAATGACTGTGTTTCCTATTCCTTTTTCTTGAGGAAGGGATGTTTTACTTCGCTTTGTCTGTGATACTTTGCTTTGATTTTTATGTGGTGGTCATCAGACTCTATAAAGACAAGAACCATACTTTTAGGGTTGATAGCATGCCGTATAATGTCATGTATTCAGGGCCAGGAGACACCTTTAACTTAGTAACTCTAACTTCCTGTCCTTTATATTACTTCTTAATCAATTTATATAACTTTTAGTCACTGTAAAAATACTGTAATAATTCCGTAATGTTTTACATTTAATTCCAATGAAATATGAACCATTGTGAACCGTTTCTTCCCACAGCACGCCCTTCCACTTCCTGGTTTTATCTTCTTGGCCTCTGATATTTATGACCATGCAGTTCTCTTCAATAAGTCTGGTGAGTTTAGAGTTGTATGGTAGGAACACCTGCTAGTTTCCAAGACAGATCTTCAGTTTTACTTTTGACTTGGTATTTTTTTTTTTTATCACATTCTTCTTTGTTGTTGTTGTTGTTGTTTTTTCCAGTACCAGGAATGAACTCACGACCTCACGCTTGCCAGGCAGGCGCTGTGCCACTGAGCTAAAACCCCAGCCCCTTTAATCACATTCTTATCTAAATGATCTGTCCCTCCCTAAACAGTCTGCCTTCCAGGAATAGAGATAGTGCCATTAATTGGTAGGTGATGCAGCAGCAAATGCTTTCACAAGCTCATCTCCAATATTTGCAAATCAAGTAAAAGAACATTTTCAGATTGTCTCTTGCTTTGGAATTTGTGTTTGCATTTAAACATGCAATGTTAAATGTTTTGAGAATGAAAGTAAATGGTAGCTTCACACACGACAGGGACTAGAGCCCTGTGAAATTGGGCAACAGTCCAGCCATCCTTGGTTCTGTTCTTCCTTTTCTGCCTTGGAAGGCAGAACTGCTCACAGATCCAAGCTGCCTGGCCACCAAGCAAGGTTGAAGCAGTGTGATGACAGGTCTTGTTTCCTTGTTACTGGTTAGATAGACAATAAATCTGGCCATCAAAATGTGATACTGGGGCTTACAATGTGGCTCAGCTAGCATGGATGAGGCCCTGGGTTTCATCCTCAGCCGTGTGGTGATGATGTTGATGATATTATGATGATGGTGGTGGTGATGATGGTATTGGTGTTGGTGATGATAATGGTGATGACGGTGATGATGATGGTGATGATGATGATGATGATATATCTTTGCAGAACTATATCAACTTCCAGTCATCGGTGTGACAGTGCCCATCATGTGGTTCTACCTGCTCATGAATGTTATCACTCAGTATCCTTTGGGTCCTTTTATCATATGTGTGTTTTATTTGTTATTTTAACATAGGAATGTTTATTCTTTTTTTCTAATAGTGTGAGAGAATAAGTCTGGTTTTTTTGCCTTGATTTTTTTTTTTCTGGAGTAAGTGGGAGAAAGAGACCCATTGAGGGAACTTCTTTACCGAAGGCAAAAGAGAAGAAATGCTCCATGTGGAAATGGAAGAGCCTGCTGATGGGTTAAAACATAGTATATGACAGCTGTGATTTTTACCTGAGGTTTCCCAGTATTCAAGTATATTTCCAGTTGTCACAAGCTGTCACACAGTTCTGAAAGGAATCTCAAATTAATGGAGACTTAGTTTATTACATACATAATTTAAATGGCCTTAAATGTATTGTATGTCTCTTACATGGTGAAACAGAATGTTATTAACTTCACTCCTTTGAAGTCATTTTATGGATTTGCCATAAAATTCTTTCATGTAGGAAGGGACAAGACAAAATAAAGGTGAATGGGATCTTACTATCACTGCATTGGAAGTGACCTATGTTGTAATCATAAAAAGAATCCAAAATAAGGATATGGGATGCTTTTAGGTAGTTTCAGGTTGGGATCTGTAAATGGGAAGGTAGGACAGTTGTGCAGAATGTTCTAGTGAGGAGGTGCCTCAGAGCAGCCAAAGCAGACCCTCGTGTTTTTGTAGAATGTGAAAATATAAGCCAAGAACCATGTCAGAAATTGCCCCCACTGACCTCCCAAGTACAGCATACAGAAACTTCCTTAACTCCACTCCTCTAGGTATGTGTGCATCCGGGGTGTGTTCATCCTCACGACAGAATGTGCCTCCCTCACCGTCACACTTGTTGTGACTCTACGCAAGTTCGTGAGCCTCATCTTTTCCATCCTGTACTTCCAGAACCCTTTCACTCTGTGGCACTGGTTGGGTACCCTGTTTGTCTTCATTGGGACCTTAATGTACACAGAGGTGTGGAACAACATAGGGACTACAAGAAGTCAGCCGCAGAAGGATGACAAGAAGGACTGAGGTCTGCCTGGACCAGACAGACCAGTGTTGTGCGAGTGGGGCCTCTAGCAAAGGTCTGGCCATTTCACTTTGGGTAATGCCTCATTACCCCCAGTATTGAACTAAACCTGTCCCAGAGAATCCTCAGCAGGAGTGGACCTCTCCAGTTTCCATGGCTACCTGGACTATGTAGACTCCAAATAAATATCCTCAGCCCTCAAAACAGAAAAAAAGAATAGTTCTATACTACTGAGGAGCTCACTGATTTGCTGTTTTTGTTTGGTTTACCAGAATATTCAGAACTGTACTTGTTTGTTGAATTCCAGTGCCCCAGAGATACTACTTTTATAGCTGTGGTGTCAGACAAGATTGTGCCTTCGTTGCTGTTCTGATGCTTCTCTGCCGTAGCAGTTATTACCATCCTGTGCCACGTCCTTTTCCCACCTGTCATCCCTCCACTCCTCAGCAGCACTTTGCAATCTGTCACATGCTCCAGGCCCCACTGTCCGCTGAAGAACAGAGTGGTGAGTGAACTGAGACCGCAGGAACATCAGGGCTGGACTTCCTCCAGCATTTTGGAAAAGAAGTTGTTGTCCCTATGAGCTGAGCCCTGGTGACACTGGAGTAGACTGGTTGATCCTTCTTTCTCATATTTTATTCCCCATACACACACGTATCAGAGGCTTTTCCTATCTGTTGTTTTCTGTGCTTCGAACAATTCTGCAGCATCTCGTGGCATGATGGTAGTATGAGAGAAAGGTTCTACATGATTGGGAAGAGGGAGACTTTTTCCTCAGTCTTGTATATGAAGCCCATTAGCCTGTCACTAAGATGGGGACAGCAGCCTGGCCCAGTACAGCTGGCCCTGCTCAGTACCCTGAGAGCCACAGCTTCTCCCATAGGCCCAGCTGGAGTGGGAGGGTAAGACTGTGAAAAACTCCAGAGCCAGGAAAACTAGCTCTGCCTGGTAACTAGGACGGGCACCACCAGCCAGGGGAATAGACTCAGCTATACAGTAGGTGTGGGTGTGGTGTCTATATCAGGTCAGATCACAAATGCAGTGGAAAGTTCCTCTTTTTTTTCCTATAAGGTGTGTTTAATGTTCATTTTGGCTATTTGGGAAAGAGTTATATGTGCTTTATTATATCTAGAAACAGGCCTCTCTTAATAATCATTTCTTGCTTTTTCTCTGAAGGGATTGTAGTGAGAAAGAACAATGACAGCAGTAACGTGTGGGGAATGTGTGGTTTGTGTGCAGCTGAAGAGCACAGAAGTTGGTGTCTTTTATTAGCTATCTTTACTTAGTCCCAGTCCTCTTTAAAGTCAATGTCCACTGCTGTTTTTCCTATAGACAAAGGCCTTTCATTTAGTGCTGGGTGCAGACTGCATTCTGAAATTGAGATGCAGCTCTGGGTCGCCTAGGCTTGCTCCTGGCTGTCTGTTTCACCGGCTAGATAGTCTCTTATGGGTCTGAGCAATAGTGGTGAGAAGTATCCTTAACCACTGGACCGCTTGGGGAAAACATTCACGCTGTCTCACGTCTTTTATTACATAAAATATGGACACTATTTCTCTGCTGAATCCCTGGGTTTGCAAACTGATTTGTTACTCTGGATACTGACACCTTGCGGGTAATGGTCTGTTCTCAAAGATGCTGAATTGAATGTGAACCCATTCATGGACTCAAAAGCTACTTGCTTTGAAAGATGCGGAGTTCTTTGGATTGATGGAGTCATACCTATCAAATGTTAAGTATCCTCTTAAAAAAGAAAGCAACAAAAGCTACTTTTCTTTGCTTGCTGCTTAGTAGAAGAATCTGTCCCTTGGGGCTATTTGATTGCTGCAGATCTAGAGTCTCTGGTAAGTCTTAGTGGGATATAGCCTTACCTAATATAGCACCACCCTTTCTAGGTTGATGGGAAATACTACAGCTCATAGTATTTGAGATGGGCTAACATGCAGTCAGGATTTAACTAGGCCCATCAGATGTTAGATTCTAGCTTTAGAGCAGGTTTCTCTCAGAGTGAATACCTCTTTGTTACACTCATATAACAAAATGAGCACTCATAGGAGCTGGAGACTTGAAATACTGTGAGTTGTTTTTATCTCTAGATGTTGCATGTAAGAAAGTATGTTTAATGGACACCGTTGAATACTTTTTAAACCACTCTTTTAAAGAATTTGTTCCCCTTGGTTAACTAATTTTTCAATTCAGGTTGAATATTTTTCCAACCTTTCATTTTAAAAAGGGCAAATAAACCTATAGAGGTTTATTTATAGAGGATCCAACTCATACCTAAATACAGGAAAAATATTGTCTTCTTTGTCTGAGTCAACACCATGAATTTTGTGCTTCAGAGATGTACAGCATATAGTTTGTTTATAAATAGTTTAGTATTTAAAACATCTATAGTTCTACCCTAGAGCAAAGCTCGGATGGCAAAGACCCTAGCAGAAAATATGTGTGTGCACCTGTGTGTCTACTTAACAGCTTGGCTAGTACAGCAGATAAGGCAGGAAAAATGGTGCAAGTTTGAATTATGTTATTTAATATCTAGATAGTCTTTATGAAATTATATTGTCACACTATAATGCTTTTTTCATGTTTATCAGTAATTTATTTTTTATTTAACTCAGTGCTTTAAAAAATTCAGAGTTAAAGATAGAACCTACGGCCTCACAGATATTTTTTATTATTTTTTTTCACCCAACTAAAACCACCACTAATACACTTGGTGAGTTTATGTGAAATTCTATTTAGACACCATCCAAAGAGTTAGTGGTTTGGTTGTTTCCGTTTTTCCTTCTTCCTGCTCAGGCGAGGAAAATGAAATGCTGTAGTACATTGACTCTGGTCAGTAATAGAAGCAGAGAAAAACCATGAAAGCTGAGCTGATTTGTGCCATCCATCACCCACTTCCTCTGTTCAGGGAACAATACATGATCTTTTTGAAGGATTCTAGTAAATAGGTGTTTCCTGAGTAACCTCCACCCCCGCCACTTCCTTACCCCCACTTCCGACTTCTTCACTACAGCCTCCACTCACACGTGTTTTCCATCAAGCAATACCTATCATCTCATATCTCTATCTCTATTCCTTGGGGCCTCCGGATGGTTCTGTGGATTTTTACAGGGTATTTGTACCTGTGCGGCATGTGTTTTGTTACACATTTTTATAAGCATTGGTATTAAGGGTGTGCATCCGTATGGGTGAGACTGGCAGAGTACACGAATATGTGTATAGGTGAGTGTGAACAGGACGGGTCAGAACGAAAATGTTGGTATGTTTTGTTACAGCTCATAGGAGAGGTGAGGCTCTACCACCATTCCCTTCTATATTTGGGAAGCAGTTTTCTTATGTGGAGCTTTTTACTGAAACTTTAGCTGGCTTCACTTAGCACTGCCAGATAACCAACAGAAAGGGAAAGCACAAAACATTGGGAGTAATTCTGAACCAATGACTTGGCTCTGGGTGCTGGATATGTTCAACAGGGGACCACTTGACCTGACCTGTGCAGATATACAAACTCATGGGCAAAAAAGACATCAGAGAGATCTGAAACTGAGATCCAGCATTTGTTGTACTTTGTCCTCTCTTTGTCTTATAATAAATGAAATTATGAATAATTCTGCCCTTACTATGTAACCAAACCATTTTGATCAGGGTAGCTTTCTTCTGAAAGATGTGACTGAATTTTATCAGTGGCAGTTCATGCTTAGATCAAAAGAACTGTTGCTATAGATAAAACCCATTCACTGGTATGTTCCTGTTGGCTGGTGTAACATTTGAGAGAAGCTGTAAACCATATTTGTAAATAAAGAACTAGTTCTCCGTCTTGGAAAATATTCAGTGTGCCCAGAGACTAGCATCTCGGCTTGGTAGTGTGTTCTCTCTTTCCAGCAGCTTCCTCGCTGTAGACATTCCAGGGATGGGAAGAGCCAGGGATCGTATCCAATTCATTTCTGTATCACCGGCTCCTGGCTTAGTGCTGACCTGTGTTACACGAATAAATGAATGCTTGCCATGAACAAATGAGTGCTCCCTCAAGTGTCTGAGAAACCTTTTAATGCTTCCGAACACCATGCCCACTCTTCATCAGCTGGTTGGCAAGACAGCTAGTAAGGGGAAACATGCCAGAGGTTCCGAGTAAGAGAAGCGGGTGGAGGAATGTTGGGAGATCGGAATAGTATGCACTGTGCTACCCAGCTTTTTGCTCTTTTGACTGCCTGATGGTAGGAGGGAAGAGCGTTATATACTTAGGACCCTACCTATCTGGTGCTCAGGAAGAAAGTATAAAGAGATGCCAATGAGAGCATTACAGATTCCTCAGAGTTTTGAAGTGGCCACCTAAGGTGAGCAGCAGCCCCACCCTCACATGCCACAGCTGGTGATGTTAATGTGTATTGGCTGCTGCCTGGAAAGCACCGTGTGACTGTATCAACCTGGGAGCCTGCCTTGAGCTTAACTACTTAAATCGCTGCTTGCTACCCATCTTACCAAAAGGTGAACTGCAGGGGAACCAGCGATAGGAGAGAAAAAACACTCACTCCTCCCTTAGAATGAGGCCCATACTTAAGAAAAAAGTGATTTCTTTGGCACATTGAATTTATGTCTTTGAGATATAAAGAAGACTGCTGTTAACCAAAGGTGGTGGTGGTGGTGATTCCCCCAAAATGTCTAAAACCCTAAAAACATCTTTTTGTGTCACTTACAATTGCAAGTCATTTCTCTGCTGTTTGCCTTCCTTCCAGAAAGTGCCCTCATCTTCCAAAAAAAGATGATGATTTTGTAAGTGCGGTTTCCTAACAAATTATGGGTAATGGATGGGGGCGGGGTAGTGAGGATTTTATGTATTCAGCCTCTGAGCTCTTCACTGAGTAGTACATTTTAAGAACAAAGATCGGCGGGCGGAATAGAGGTAACAGCCAAGTATGTAGAACAGCCAAGACATTAGTGAGTATTCAAACTCGAGCTGTGTAAATATCCAACATCAGCTTCCAGCCTTATGAGTTATTGGAACAGAGAGTTAAGAAGAAAATGGAGATTTTGTGAATAAAATGTTTTGCCAAACTAAATGAGTCTTTTCACCATCATTTCTTATAAAGAGCCATTTTTTTACCTTCTGAAACAACTCAGCAGACATCTGGTTTTCATCTTGGATTGTGTGGTCATTGTTTCTTAATAAAAGTGATAAATTTCCTGCAGGTGTTCCAATCACCATTACCTTTCAAGGGCCCGTGTACAGTTTCAAAAGCTCTCATTTTTTCACCCTGTATAGTGGTGGAACATTTTACTACAAACCATTGTTAGCAGCCTGTCTTCCTAATGCCTCACAGCTGGATCAATAAAAGGTTACTTCTCAGGCTCCAGCCTGTTTCTGCTCCGGAAATTTAAAGCAGATCAGCCTACATTTGGAAGTTCTAGAGGTTCATGTAAGTTTCTGCAAAATCTCTCCAAACCTTTCTTTCTTAATAGAAAGACATTGATTTTTATAATGCTGCGGTGGCCAGCTCTTTTTCTCTATTTTAGTGTGCTGCTTTTACATAAACCTTAACACAAAATCACTCTGAAAGCACTTCACCATATCGAGTCTCTTTTTAATCATGTCATGCAGTAGCCCCCATGTACAGAATGCAAAGAGGAAAAAAAAAAGACTTTTGCACTAAATATGACAATTAAAATTCATTTCTTTACATCTTGCAGTGTACTTTTATTAGAAGGATGATGCTACATGTTCTTAAACAGCCCTGGAATAGTCTTAGCTTTTGAAGCGTTTTTTTTTGTTTGTTTGTTTGTTTTTTTGTTTTTGTTTTTTTTTGAGATAGGGTCTTGCTACAGAATTCAAGCTTGTCCGGGCTGTCTTTGAACTTGCAATGATCCTCTTGCCTCAGCCTCCCAAGTGCTAGGATCACAGGCATGTGCTACCACACCTGCTTCCTCTCCACTCTTAAATCATAGGCATGTTGAATTCTAAAATGTTAGGAATTACAAGCTCCAAAAAATGTAGAGCCCTTTGGGAGACAAAATTATGGTTTAGTTGAGCTCCTTAGCAAATTGTATAAATGCGTCAGTGGAGTAATCTTCCACGCTGTCCCCTGTGATTCTGGTCAGCAACAAGACAACTGCAGATAGTGCCACTGCGTCGCCACCCAGGATGTCCCTCGTTAATAAGAAGTAGACGCTCGTAGATGGATGTCAGCAAAGATCTAGTTTCTCTGTCCCCTATCTTAAATTCAGCGTTCTACCAACATGAAAAATTAGTGCAGATCAATGAACTGTGAGAAAAATGAGCATATCTGGCTATGCAAGTATTTGTTAATAACCAAAGCTTTTCAGTGTTCTTTATCTTAAAACTAATAAAATCATCTCATCATTAGAATTAAGTTATTTTAATGTTCAATTGTTTCCTAATCAGCACTTCAAGGAAGTAGCATATGGCTCTGTTATTACATATGACTCCTTGGTGCACAAATGTATTCTAAAGCTAAGCTTATGATTATCATTACTGCAATTTACTATTTCCCATAATAGCTTTGAATGGCATTTACTGCCTAAAAACACTGCTTTCGTGAAGGCTATATATCTGCATCAGTCTTCCTAGAATCTTTAACATCGTTAAAATAATGACTTTCCAGCAAATTGGTAATGATAAACATATATTTCCCATGTGTAAAGCACATGGACATATTTAACCCTCATGACATTATTGACATAAAATTATCCCCATTCTACAGATAAAGAAAAATGAGCCAGAGAGGAGCTACTTAACTTGCCTCAGTTGTTCATATGTGTTGGAGCCGGGATTTGAACCCTTGAAGACTGATTCTAGATTCCATACTTCTTGTGCTCCCTCTCAAATCTCAGTAAGAAGGCCATACCATCTTCCTGTGTTCTCTCCCTCTGCTTGGTGTAGATCTCTATATGGTAAATGGCATCAGCAAATCTTGGATTTGTCTTCTTACCATATTGACACATGTCTGAATCCATACCCTAGTTCGTATCTAAGAGATTATGATCTGTTCTGTAGGACAAGCAAGCAAATGAAACCTAGAGCAGTGCAACAGTCTATTCAAATCAGAGCATACCCATTTTTCCTGGTATCTGAAGCATACAACCTTCAGGTTAATCAACACTGTCAAATATACAATATTACATAAGGTAATTAAATCATAAAGCCTTTGTCAATAATTTGCATAAGTGGCTGTAACTTACAGAATGTTTAATTTGTGTGTTAACTGTTTCTTAGTTGTCAGAGCAGCTGAGCTAGTGATCTTTCACATGTGCAGAGCCGAACACGGGGCGTAAGACGTGAGCTAGTTAAGCAAAGGGGTGTCACATGACATCAGCCTGTTAAATGCATAAATAAATGCACTGTGGTGGTTGAGCAGTTCCTTTCCTCCCATCCAGAGAGAGGGCCCCACCTGACCTCAGCTTTCTATCTCTTATTTTTATTTCTCCATCCTCCCACTGTCCTTCCCTGCCAGGAACTTTGAAAGCTGCATTGGATGAGGCACCTAGTTTCTCCAAATTCTGGGCCAGCAAGCATTTAAATTATCTTGTCCACGTGGATAAATGCCATCCCTGAATTATACTTTAATAATAAACCTTCAGATGTTATACAAGAATATTTTACAATGGTTTCCCGTTTTGGTGATTCAGTGTCTTTGGCACGAATAGACTTTAATAGATTATCCATTATCCACTAGATTACTTAATATCCCCCATTCAAACAAGAATCAGTGCTATATATTGTTCAAATTTTAGTTTGAGAAAACATTTTTTTTTTTCCCCCTCCGGTACCGGGAACTGAACTCATGACCTTGTGCTTGCCAGGCAGGCGCTTTTGCCGCTGAGCTAAATCCCCAGCCCCCTTGAGAAAACATTTGTCTCTGCAGATATGTTTGTACATGTAGTCTTATCAGAAAGAAAACCATCATCACTTGTAAACAAATTTATTAGGATTATGTTTAAATGTACGTAATAGAAACCCAGCCTTCATCACTTAACCGATTTTTTTCATAAAGGAGATAGGCAGATTGGGGCTGGTTTGGCTACTCAGGGAAGTTGTCGCCAGAAAAAAAACAAGTGAAAGCTGCTGTAAGATAGCACATCTGCAAAAAGCCACATGTGCACGTACTAGTACCAGGGGAGCAATCATACGGCTACTGCTCCATCTCTCCCTCACAAGTACTTACCATTAGGAGGAATCTATCCCAGAATTCTGCTGGCAAAGATTATGGGAAAAGTAGAATCCCAAACCCTCTGGTACAGGGGAATGATAAGATGAGAAAAATAAGACTGAATTCCCAACAAGTTCACCCCTCTGGCTGGACTACTGAATGATTAATATTCAACCTCCAGACAGAAAGCAGAGTTAACTCTACCTACTATGATGCTATGGTGTGTGTCCCTCCAATGTTCATGTACCAGAATTTTGGTCCCCAGTGTGGTAAGGTTGATATGGTGGAACCTTTCAAAGGTTGGGCCTAGTGGGAGATGGTTAGGTCATTGTGGGTGCCACTCTCAAGGAGAATGAAGTTCTCGTGAGATTTCAGTGAGTTACCTGGAGAAGGATTTGCTATAAAAAAGAGTGGGCCTGGCTGGGAATGTAGCTCAGTGGCACAGTGCCTGCCTGGGAAGCATGAGACCCTGAGTTTGATTCTCGGTACAAAAAAAAAAAAAAAAAAAGAATTATTCAGCCAAAAAGGAATCTCTGGCTTCCTATCTCACTGGGTGATTGCTTCTGCTGTGGCCAGTTTACTAT